TGTTAATTTAGGTCAAAGATGTGGGCTGGCAGCTCCCCTCTAGTTGGAGGAAGCAACGTATCCCTTAGACAGGACCTCAGCATACCTCAATGGTGGCTGACCTTCCAGTCCCTCTGGTGCCATTAAAGCCATGTGGCCCAAGCCCCTGTAGTGTATTTCTGTTACTTTATAGCAGCTATCCAAGGACGACATGGAGGGGGAAGGTCTTCAGTGCATAAACAGCAGCTGGGTGCAGAGGCAGGAAGGTCTTAAATCCTACCTGGAGATGCCCAGTATGATCCAGACCTGGGGCCTGGCTCCAGGTGCCCCAAACTTCAATTCATATATGTTTCTTAGACCTCATAACTTGCTAGTCTCTCTCCCTGTGGGAGTCTCACAGCTCAGCCTCCAGAGCTTTGCTCCAGCCTCCCCAGGCTGACTGAGTTTGTGTTATTTGGATAAACAATATTCCCCTCTTCAGTTGTCAGCAACAGGCTTATTTACCTGGTAGTGGGACTGAGTGATTTCTTCCCACCTACTTCCATCGAAGGTGCCACTCAGGGGTGGAAGACCCAGCAGCTGGGGTTTGGCAATGATTTCATACCAGCTACAGGGATCCAGGGCTAGGTACTGCAAAGTCACCATGCCCCAGAGTTGTGATTTCATCCAGTTATCCAATACTTTGCATCCAAGTTAAGTTACAGTCATCATATTCCCCTCAGCCATGAACAGATACTGTATACTTTAAAACCCTCTGTGTTTTGGATTCTCCTAACCCATTCCCTTGATGGCTCTCTCCCCCCTCTGGCTCTGTGTGTGTGTGTGTGTGTGTGTGTGTGTGTGTGTGTGTGCATGTGCGTGTGTGTTATGTTGTTTTGTGTGTGTGTCTCTGTGTGTGTGTATATGTGTGTATGTTATGTTGGTTTTTTTTTTTTGTGTGTGTGTGTGTGTGTGTTGGGGGTGAGATCACCCAGTCCCTACCTCCAAGGGGCAATAGAGTCAATACAAAAACACAGAGATACAGAGGTGATGTCCAGTTCAGAAATTCTGTAGCTATCTTTCTTTTTGCAAACAACTCTGCCCTGTGCAGTCACTGGCCAAATTGTCTCTGTCTGCAGCTGTTGGGAGCTGAGAGTTTGAGGCAGGGTACAGTTATGCCAGCTGTTGGAGACAGATTATACTATGAAGATTGGCCGTGACTCACATTCCATCCAGCACAGGGGAAATGCGCAAAAGTTATATGTCGTCTTTGGGGGGGGTGCCAAAAAAATCATCTTGGTTTTGTCTTGCAAGATGTTCAGCTTACAGAATGTGGGGCAGACAGAGGAAGGGGGTGGGGAGGATGCAAAGGGGAGCAGATCTGTCTCCAGCTGACTCTGCCTGTCACACACCCTCCATCGCTTCTAATAACAACACCCAGCATTTAATCAGCCCCTTTGGAAGCAGGCGATGTCACACTCATTAATTAGTTAATCTGCACAGCCCCCTGGGAGGAGGAGCCATGTTATTATCCCCACCGGGACCCAGAGGGAAACTGAGGCCAGAACGGGGATTTGGCACAGAGCTCAGGGAACACAGCTGGGCAGCTGGACCAGAACCAGTCCACAGCTTATCACTGGTCTGGTGCCCTTGCTCATGTCTTCTTCCTCAGCTCTTCCGCTCCCTGGTGACCATCTCCAAGGACACCTGATCAAATTGGGCCAGAAGGAACTCTGAAAGACAGCTAAGCATGGCATTGGAGTGACACCAAGATGGACTCCAAGGAGTTTGTGTTCAGAGCCAGCCACCTTTGTGGCCGTTTCTGTTACAGGGTCTCATATCAGGGGTGGCAGGGCTGGGGAGAGACTCAGTAAAGTGCTTGCTATGCAAGCATGAAGACCTGAGCTTAGATTCCTGGCACTCATGTAAAAAGCTGAACATGACCTGTAAAAAGCTGTAAACATGCCAGGGAGACAGAGACGGGGGATCCCTGGGGCTCACTGGTGAATCAGTGAGCTTTCAGTTTAGTGAGAGACGTTGTCTCAAAGAATAAGGTGGACAGCAATAAGGTAAGGTACCCACCATCAACATCTGCCCCCCCATATACACACACATACACACACACACACACACACACACACACACTAACTAGAGGTGGACAGGTAGAGGTGACTCTGGGAGAGGTGATGGCAGTGCCTCCCACCCTCATCAGGATGTATGGTTCCTATGTAGGCAGATCTGAATTTGATTGACTGTCTGGTGGTTCTGGAAGGCAGCAACAGTTCCACCAGGAGGCACAATCATGGTTCCACTGAATTGGAAACTGGGTCTGCCAGCTGTCAGTCAGGGATCTTAGCTTCTTTTTCACACACACAGGGAAAGGACACTCCAGGGTCCTCACTTTGTACTGCTGAAGACTCAGCCTTAAAGGATAAAGACTTAGGTCAGCCTGTCTGTTAAAGAGACATGGACAGGCAGCAAGTAGAAGAGGGAGTAAAAGGAAAGAAGGCACAGCCAATTGCAAAAATAGTGCCTGAAGCTTTTACCTGTGTTTCCTTATTTCTGATTGGAGTTGTTGAAGCTTAAATAATTAACCAGTGCTGTCATCTTTCCTTCCTTCCTTCCTTCTTTCCTTCCTTCTTTCCTTCCTTCCTTCCTTCCTTCCTCCCTCCCTTTCTTTCTTCCTCTTCTCTTCTTTCTTTCTTTCTTTCTTTCTTTCTTTCTTTCTTTCTTTCTTTCCTTTTTTCTTTCTTCCTTCCTCTCTTTCCTTCCTCCTTCTCCACAATTATTTGGGGGGGGGATTGAACCTAGGATCTCACACATGCTAAGCATGGAACATCCCTAGACTCTGTCTTTTTCTATAGGAATGATCACAATTAAAACCATTTTTCTTATCTTTCTTTTCCCTTTCCCCTCAGTATTCATAATAGCACAGCTTCTCAACTACCCATGTACACACAGCTCCCCTGAGGGTTTTGTGATCTGGCTAAGCTTCTAGGGCTAGAGGTTCTGCATGTTGAGTGCATTCCTATGTTGATGTCACACACAGAGTCGAGTTCAAAGGATATGTTGGTCTTGGTTAATGTATCTTTTAATTTTGTTGTGGAATGCTCAGATGGGAATTGCTGGAGCAGCTAATGAAGAATGGACATCCCCTTGAGGAACTTGGATGATAGATGGCAGCCTTGTGCAAGTTGGGGGAGGACAAATACATGAATGGGATGAAAGGTGTGTGTGTGTGTGTATGTGTGTGTGTGAACATGTGTGTACATAGGACATGTGTGGATTCGTGTGTGCCAACAGCTAAGGGGTGGACTGTAGTAGGCCATTTTTGGAATGGCCCCACAGGTCACACTTTCTCCTTTGAGAACTCTGAAGTGTGGATTTGTATTGCACAGCACCATTCTGCCCTGGCCATGGCTGATGCACCATGATCTGCAGGACCAATATGATTCTGTCTTCCAGGAATCTGGAACTTTGAAGCAAGAGATATTGGAGCTCAGGAGATGGCTCAGCAGTTAAGAGCACTGGCAGCTCTTGCACAGGAACTGGGTTTAGTTTCCAACACCCACATGGCAACTCACAACTGTCCTTAACTCCAGGTTCAGGGGATCTGACGCCCTCTCCTGGCCTCTACAGGCATTGAACACTTACATACAAAAAGGCAAAACATTCACACATATAGAAACATTAAAAAGAGACATTATGTCTGGCTGTTTGAATCCCGAGAATCTAGAAAGAAGGCCTCAAGGCCTTCCCTGATCCTGACCCTTCCTGAGATTGGGGAGTTCCACCCCTTGAATTCCTTGAGGTGCTCCACCTAGTATTTGCCCCACTTCCCATTTTCTTCACCTAAGCCAGAGTTTGCCTTTGAACTAAACATAGATGATACTGAATGATCTGGGAAGGTGCGCCATTGCAACAAAGGAAGGTCTGTTTTGGACTTGCGGTTTCACTTTCAGCCAAATGTCTGTGCAATCTTCCGGGGTGGCCCGACTGCCTTACAAACACATCTCATATTCCACCGGTGGCCACTGACGCCTACTGAGCCACAGCCATTTGACCTGATTTTGGGGCTGACAACTAGACCCAGGGAACATTTTAGAGGCTTCCCTGTGCCCTAAGGCTGTTTCTCCACTTCTGGCCTCTGATGACTGGACCTTTGCCAGTCTGGCTGAGTCATCACGACCTGTGGACCCACTCCCACCCAAGACTTGCCCCAGTGGCCCCTCTGATACACAGCTCTGACTCTCTGAAAGACCCTTCTGTGCAGCTGTACCTCTCAGCTTGTCCCCCACGTGAAGTCAATTCCCGCATCTGCCTCCCACAGCGACCCAAGCTCCTTTAGGGAGGCCGGCACCCACCCACTCCCCAGGCTCAGCCCAGCACACCAGCATAGCTGTGCCCCTGCTAAAAAGCAGCTTTCAGGAAGGCGTGTTAAGCGACTTGCAGCGTGAATGAATGGGCGTGTGTGAAGGAGAACAGGAGGAGCGATTTTCTTCATTTACCAGAAATTCAAAATTGACCAAGCGCCCCTTCGGCTGTCCGGCACAATGCTGGGCGTACAGGAAGGTACCAATGGAGGTGAGGAGTACAAGGGCGGACACGCGGGCCCCCAACTCCTCAAGGAGCTTCTCCATCACCCCAAAGAGATGGAACCCATCTCATCTCTCTCTCTCCTTCCTCCCCCCAAATGAACCAGTTCTCGGGTGATCCTACTTGCTATTTTTCCTCTCCCACGCTAAACCCGGTCACGCGGGGCCTGAAGGAGGAGGGCAACCAGGCAGCTCCGGTGCCCTGTGCGGGGCCACCAGTCCAACCCCTCCTGTCTGCCCACGGAGCCCCCTCCGAGGCCACAGCCGGGCGCCCACCGCCCCCACGCGCGGGGTCGGCGCTTGGCCAAAGGTTCGGCCCGCTAGGGCCTGGGCGCCGCTCCCCTCCCTGGCGCCAGGGGGCGCTGCCGCCCCACGGCCGTCGCCATGGTCACCGCTGGCGGCGGAGTGGGGTTTACGTAAAGGACGCAGCGTCCCCCGGGGGGCGGAGGCGGCCTTCGCGCCCGCGCCGGCGCCCTGCGGAAGCCGCGTTAGTGAATCGGGGCCTTGGGGAGCCCAGGATGGAGGTGGCGGTCGCGGCGGCGGCGGCGGCGGCGGGCCGAGCCCTGCGGCGGGCAGGAGGTAAGGGGGGCCGCGGGCCCGGCGGGCCGGACCCCGGCGCGGGCTTACAGCGAGCGGCGCGGCGGGCTGGGCAGTGTCCAGGGCGCGCGGTGGCCGGTCCGACGGATCCGCGGGCGGAGGTGCGACTGCCACGGGCGCCCGTGGCAGGTGTGAGGTCCGCAGAGCGCCGGGCCACCGCTGTGGGGATGGTGACACCCGTGGCACGGGCGTGGGCAACGTGGATCCGGCACGAGGGTGTGATTTTCCCGGCGAGGGTGTAGGAAGACTCACCCCCGCTTTGGTGTGGCGGTGGCCGCCCAGGTGTGAGGAGGGTGTACCCTCTGTACAGGTGGGTGATGCGCACAGCAGCACTCGGGTGGGTGGCCAGCCGGTGCCTTGGGCATGGGTGTGAGGAAGTGCTGCCATTGCTTGGATGTTGGGATGGTTCTGGCCTTGGGCTTGAGATGGTCTGGAATGATGGCCCAGGGGCTTGAAGAATCAATGTCCTGGGCATGACTGGTGCCTCTGGCCCAGCTGTGAGACATAGCCTTGGCTCAGCACAGTGCCAGGGGGACTGCCTGGCACTGTGAGGGGAGACTTGGTAACCCTCAGACCCTGGTGGATAGGAAGGTAGATACCCACCCTCCCACCCAGACCAGGAAGGGCATTGCCTCTGTTATGGGGTTCAGTTTTAATGTCTTTGGGGTCCGTTGGACTGAGGGCAGAAGGCAGGAAGGCTGGTGTTTTTGATGATGGGGGAGAATGAGAAACACCACAGATGCTTCTACCATGAGGTTCCTGATGCTGCTAGACAGAGACCTGTCCAGGTACTAACCTATATCTGGCTTGTGAATACATCTACATTGGGAAAGATGGGAAGAGTAGGTGGTTCTTACTGGTGGTCCTTGTCCTTGACCACATGAGAGTCAGGAAGGTGTAGAGAGGTGGCCCATGCCTGCAGGTCAGGGGTCCGTGTGGCACACTATCTGTCTATGGTCCCTGGGCCCTGCCTTCTCATTGGGCTGATGGAGTTGCTCCTGAGCATCTGGGAGTTGTCTCCTTTGATGCTTGGAAATCTTTGGGTCCAGAGGACCATTTGAAGGATGCTGGGAAGATGATTCTGTGGCCACTGGGAGTGTGCTAGTGTAGCACCAGTTCTTTGAGAAGCTATAGGGGAGAGTCTCACTCAGTGTTACATGATGTCCTACTTCACAGGGGGCAGTTTGGGGACCCTCAGAGAAGTCTTGGGATGTGGGAGACATCTTCAGGACTTTGTGGGTCTCTTGGGGAAAGGCATGCGGGTTGAAGAAGAGGCCTGAGCTTGGGGTCCGAGAAAGGCTTTTTCAAGAGTTCAAAAAGATGAAGCTGGGAGTACTGGAGACTAGGGTGGGGTGGGTGCTCATTTGCTAACATGGGTGCTTGGAGAAGCCTCCCTCATCTGAGGGAGCCGTGCTGAGTTGCCTAAAGCTGGAGTATTGTTCACTGTGTTTAGAGCCAGAATACTTGAATTTGGCTGGGTGACCTTGAATAGGTGACTTAACTTTCGTAGCCATTCACACAGTGGTCTCAGGGGTCATAGAGAATGACAGGAGACTCTGCACGTGGAAGCTTCTATAAACAGTGAGAGGCTATACAAAGGTCAAAGATTCTCATCAGGTAGAGACCAGGAGAGGAGATAGGAGGCCGTAGGAATCAGAGGCAAGGACTCTGACTGGGGAGGAAGAGAGCTTAAGGTTGAGGGCCTGTCATAGGGAATTAGAGGCCTGGAGTGTACATGCTTCTGGTGGGGGTAAGTGGGATCTGTTGACACTGTGAGTCAGCTACTAAGCTGGAACCAGGCCCCGGGGTCTCCCGAAGATGGTTCTGGTTCTGATCATGGCCTTGGCAAGTTTGGAGTTCTGCAGAAGTGGCCCTAACAGGAGGAAGCCTTTTGCTTGGGCTGCAGACACCCCTCATCATTTGGGAAGGGCTGGGAGGTGTCTGTGGCTGACAGATCTAGGGTACCTGTGTGGGAGGGAGACTTAGGAAGTGTGTGTGTTTTCTCTTGAGAATTTCCCTTGGCTCCTGGTTCAGAGAATGGGAGTGGGGAGCAGTCACATCAGCATTCTGGGGGCCATGGCCTGAAGAAAGTAGGCTCAGGGCTGAGTGACGTTGAGGCTGGATGGCAAGGGAGTGAGAATAGTGGGTGATGCTCTGGATACACGGAGGACGAGAAGGGGCAACGGGTACCCTCAGAGGGTGCTTTTGGGCTGGATTAATATGGAGAGCGGTCCCAGGACATCTATCTGGATGTGGTTCCTACTAGCTGAACACCCTTTCCAGGTGGGGAAGACGAGGGAAGCTGTAAATTGCTTTGCTTTTGACCACCGGGAGGCTAATTTCTGATAAGGGGCTTCAAGGGTCTGAATTATAGACCTCACAGAGGGAGTCTTGGTGCTGGGAAGACTGTTTCTGCTGAACCCATGCCCATTTCTCCAGCATCTATGTGAGTGTCTGCCACAGCTAGGAACCCATTACACAAGTTTGCTCCCTGAGGCACAAAATTTTTGCCTATGTTCAAGCTGCAGTGTCAAACCCCATAGGTATAAGGAGGCCTGGAAGGGTGGTAAGCTGACTTTGCCATGCTGGGGGACTCAACCTGTCCCACTTAGATATAGTCTGGTACAGCAAGTACTTCCTTGGCAGTTCCCAGGTTGGCATGAGGGGCATCACAGGCCATCCACATGCTCCTTGCAGGACATTTCTACCTCCAGAGGAAGCCCTTGGCAAACTCCTGCCTGGAAAGCGCTCTGAAGTACAGGTCCATTAATGAGGACACCTTCAGCCTCCCTGTTGTGAATATTCAGTGCTCAGGTCCCCTCAGCTCACCCTCCACACCGCCTATTTGTTCTGATTTGTGGCTCAGCCTTATGGTTTGGGGCTCTGGGGCCCTTTCCAGCCACCCCTTGCCATCTGCTTGGAATGCTGGGACTCTGCACAGTGGAGCTGGGCAGCAGGCGGGGTAGATCAGAAGATGCTGGGAGGAGGAGTTGGCCTGTTCCCGCAAAGCAGAGCTGAGCTTTCTGCCCTGTCATCAGAGTTTGAGGACAGTAGAAAGCCTAGGCAGGTGACCAGCTTGGTCACTGTGCACAGATGCTGATTTTGACAGAATCAGCAGAGGCAAGGGTCTGGTAAGAGGAGTGGACACTGAGGGCAAGCCGCCCTCTGGAGCTGAGGTTCTCAATTCGTCATCAGCTCTATCCCCATTCTCTTTGTATTTCTCCAAAAGTTGCTTTCCTCAGCTTCTGGCAACCTTTCCTTCCTTGGCTGCCCCATAAATCACAATGCCTGACTGCTCTACTTGAGAGGTGCCAGGGAATCTGGACATTGCTGACCGGAGGTTGCGGTCCAGAGCAGGGAGCCCCAGGTGGGCCTGCTGCAGCCGAAGGCGGGGATGGTCTCTGGAAGCCACTGGGCCCTCTCTCTGTCTTCCCAGACCAGAGGGGGAACCTCTGGGTTTCATCACCTGTTGGGCCAGTCTCTCACCAGAATAGCTTAACATTACACTCCAGTGGACTGGGCAAGTAGCGCTGGGGGAAGTATCAATGAGTGTGTGGTCAGGGTAAGATGAATCTTTCAGAACTGCGGAGCCCAGGACATAGGAGGATGTGGTTGCCTCCCCAGCGGGCAGGGCTGGAAACTGTTTATCTGGATTCTTTTTCCCTTTCTGATACCTCCTTGAGCCAAGTTGCAAGGGGGAAGTGTCTACATATGCCTGGCTTTCCATGACCTAGGAAGCTGACTTTTGGTGGGGACCTTTCTGCTGCTAAGGAATCTGGGGGCGGTAATGTGACAAGGATCCCCGTAGCCAAGGCTGAAGGTGTGGTTTTCTTGGGGCGTTTAGCAGGTTGCGGTTGAGGAGAGCAGGGCAGGGCTGTTTCCACCACAGGGCCGTTCAGAGATGACACATGTGTGGAGCCACGTGTGCCTGCAAGTTGTGTCTGTGGGAAGTGAGGGCTGAGGGGGTGTGAGCGGCTGGTGGCGTGGGAATTTGTGGGCTCCAGTGTCTGGCTGGCCTGGTGTCAGTGGGTGTCTGGAATGGGCTGTTGCGGTAGAGCTTGAGAGGGGCAACCTTCTAGATGGGGAGGGCAGGAGGGTGGGCTTTATCTGTCCTATGATGGTGCCTTCAGGGGAGCCCTTTTGCTTTCTCTGTATTCCTTAGAAGGAGCCCTGGCCCTCAAATTCCTATATGTACACAACCTGGGGGCAAGTCATACCTGCCTCTCAGGTCCTTCCCATAGCACCTGGGGGTCAGCTGGGGACAGTCCAAGTAATGTAGTCTGTGGATATTGTGACTCTAGAGTCTGAGGGCAGACAAATCTAGATTTGAATACAGCTACCTTTCTAGACCTTGTTTTTCTTATCTGTAAGATGGGGATCGTAAACCAGAATTCCACCTTATAATGCCTGGTCAGCAGGGATGTTGTGATAGAAATCATGGAGCCCACATTCAGTCAGGGTTTATACTGTCCAGTTAGAAACTTTTCCACTCAAAAGTTTTATGTCGTGATCTTGTTTATTCCGTGCATAGATTAGCACCCCAGAGGTTAATAGGTTTCAGGACTTGATGAGGGGATGGCAGGGCCACTCTGTATCTCTGTCACTAGTGTCACCTTACCTCTGTTGGATTCAGTGGCAGTTACTTCTTGAGCCCATACTGTGGGTTGGGGTCAGAGCGGCTCATGAAGACAAGTTAGGCATCCTAGTGTGGAAGGTGTAGATTCTGCTGTCAAGGCTTAAAATCTACTCAAAGACCAGGTGAATTTCTGCAAGTGCTGCTTCTGGAGGTCAAATGAGGGGAAGTAATTCAAATTGCTTGATTAGGAGACACTTGGGTGGTCTTGGCCCTTGACTCGGGCTCTTGGGACCAGTGGGAAGGTGGACTACAGTGGTGAATGTGGCAGAGAAGGCTTCTACTGACCATTTTCTTCAAGCTGTCCAAAGCAGTGAAAGCCATGGTTGGAAGGTCAGAGCTGGGTTCC